TCCTCAATGCACAGTGCTATCCAACAGAAGAGATATCATAGCACCCACTCTCAGTGCAAAATATTTGGGTTGTACAAAGAAACAACCAACTGTTGTCACAAGAAGTTCTCCAATACAGATCATCCCAATACAACAGTATCATTAAACCCTCTTACTGTTCAGGCCTTTCTCCCTTATTCGATATCTACATCTGTCACTAGGATAAAAAGGTAAAAGGTCTACAGTGGATATATCTCAGTCGAATTCGAACGAAACGAACAAATCGGTAAATAGCGAGGCGTTTGCATTCGTGATATCTGACCGGGTCCTCCATTTTGTGTCAGTTGAGCAGGAAAAGACTGTTATATTCTGATGGCACTTAATTATTCAAATGAAATTGATAAGATACACATGCGTCTCAACTGTGGTATCAACCCCGTTCGATGGCTACGCATTTTTTGTATGACTGCTGGTAACTTCTCTAAGAAAAACTACGGCAATATCAAGAATGGACGCAACAATGTGAGGACATGGTCTATACAATATGGAATGGCTCAATTGGTTAAATTATAACTACTAGTATCACGTGGACTTGAATCACAAACTAGAAAATTTTCAAAATCAATAGCGAATCTAGATCAATCTACATTCACCAATCCTAATCCATGTGGTAAATAATAATATAGGGTCATTTTTGTTATCAACTAATGTTATTGTATACTCGTAAAAGCAAGAACACATTCAATAAATGAAAATTAAGTTTAATTGTTTATGTTACAGAATATTTACAAAAACAATTTAAAAGATAAATAAACACAAAAATATATTTAGAAAAAGAAGGGTTAAGTTCCCCAAGCGCCTGTGTGTTAATTTACTGTGACAAAATCTATCAAATGCGAGAACACTAACAACATAAACAGAGAGGTCATTCAAAACTTCTCCGAAAACCACAAACAAGATATCAATGGGTTAGATAATTTATAATTAATGTAATACTAATTAGACCAGAATTTCTTTATATATATTGCTTGACAATGTATCTGAATTTAGATATGTAAAAAATTTAAAAAAATTAGAAATATGACATCTTCTCATCGTTGGTTAACAATTATATTGTTGGAATGGGCAAACAAAAATTGCACAAAGTTTTTTAAATGAGACATGAGGGCCTTTATTAGGTAACGCAACATTCTAGACAAAAAATTCAAATTTAATCTTTAATTTTTCACTACACAGCTAAATACGGATAACCGCTATTAAGTTTTTATATGACCGATGGAGGGTGAAGTCACTAGATATTTTCATTAGAACATGACGATTGATTCTAGTCAACTTCCGTTAAAATTAGTGCATTCACTCAGTAGATTTATCTTAAGAATATTAAGATTAGTACAAAATTATACAAATTTTCATGTCTTTTGCTAATCAATTTTAGATGACAATATTTTACTGTGGCAATTACCTAGTTTTGAGAGATTTTGGTATGTTTTACGAATATGGGGTCCCCATTCTTGTAATGTTAACAGAAATACTAATCTTCCCTCATTGGTGTATTTATATTATCAAAGTATCGCAGTATTACTTGATAAAATTTAGACTAGGCAAGAAAAAAAATAGGCTAGAAAGAAATCCCGCTGTGGTAAGGACAATGTTGTACACAACTATTTTATATTTATACCTAATTGGATTTTGATTCAAATGAAGCAAAGTTTGTTCATAAACCTATCAAAAGAGCAGTTACAACACATATACACATACAAGAATTGCATTTCAACCATGTTAATTTTAATATATCTTATTTTTGTTGATGCCTGTATAGCACCGGAGACTTCCAATACAATTCGTGTCTCTAATTTCATATATCTTAATTAAATTAAAATTTACAGACATGTTGTTGTACATCTTATACGTTATTTTTATCCAGAAATGTCACAATTGGATTATTTAAAAGGAGCTATGAAAACTGATCAAAGATACCAGGCTTATAATTTGGAACGTCCAACACACATGTTGTCAACATCAGACTCATCAGTGACACTCGATTCAAAATAGTTAGAAGAAGAAATCAAAAACTAAGTTGAAGAGCAATGAATAAACAATTCCTAAACTTGTGCCAAATACAGCTTAGTCAAAGTATTTTTTGGGTAGCCGGACAAACTTTAGTGTTTTGAATAATTCAACATTTTAAACAGTAAACTTATAGCAAATAAATGTATCAATGTTCTTTTTTTTCTTTTTAAAATTTCTTTATTTCCATCAGTTGCTTGTTACATTGTCTTCAACAAGTCCAAGCTTCTTGTGAAGAATAAATATAATTTTCAATTCTATTATATTAATAAATAAAACATCAATCTAATAAATGTTTCTTAACATTAACTAAAAATTTAACTTCTTCTAACTTTTTTGAATAATACATTCGTTTTGTAAATTCTCTAATGAATAGACAAAAAACATCAAGTGTTTTCATTTTCTGATCAGATACATAGTAGGATTTATAAATTGAAAACCCAATTATAGTAATAAGATAGTTAAAGCCAAAATAATATTTATCAGATATTTTATAGCCAATAACAATATCTTTCAATGTGATTGCAATAAATTATGATTTTTTCTCCAAAAATCGTTTAAAAAAGAACATGACATAAAATAATGTTGATAATCTTCTTCAGTAAAGCATTTGTTACATAAATCATTGTCTGTTACCTTCCATCTAAACAATAACTTTTTAGTAGGTAATATACTTTGTAAAAGTTTCCATCGATACATCTTCAATTTATTTTCTTCTCAATGTTCTTAGTCATGTTAGTCTTGGTGGGACCTACTTCTTGACGTGGATCTTGATGAATGAAGTGCTTGAGATGCTTTCATTGCAAAAGCAGAAGGTTTCATTATTTTGAGTTAAACCTATTCCCAAGTTATTTTATCATTGAAAAACAAAGGATATAGGGTATCCATCAATGACACAAAATCAGCAAACAACACACAAAAAGCAAAGGGACAGCACTTTTATTGCTGTTCTTATCTAAAAGTCACAGTGAGGCCTTCAGCACGGAGAAAAAAACACTTCTCACCTCACTGCAAGTTTAAGACAGCCATAGCACCGGATTGAGCGGAATTACCAAAGACATTGAATTGAATGATGTCTGTATATTGCCTCAATCTAAATATGTACATATAACAGTGGGTTTATCAGTTGCATTTCCCTGCAACTTTCATTACAGTATTGTCATGATTCATTTAACTATATTTACATAACATTTCATAATTATTTGCTTCAACATTTATATATAGGACAGGTTTCAGTTCGCTTGCACAATCAGTAACTAACAGATATCTTGCAAAACTTAAAAATTTGTGGAGAAAAGGTGTTATTCATTTGTGTATATGGCATAGTGATGAAACGTTCGAACAGAATTTATATTGATGAAAATGATGAACAGGTATGTATCTTGGCAAATTTTAAAGGTTAAATTTTATGACGACATTGTCTTAACTTAATAACAAAACGCTTTTCTTAAAAACTGATAAAGTCATGATTCCTCAGTCAAAGTTTGATACAACTTTGAACTAACATTGCACCAAGGGATTACAGGTAAGCTCTAACGTCTAAAAAAAAGCTCTAATTTGGCACTTTATCAACACTTTTTTACTATATACATGAGGATGAAGACAGCATTTATAAAATATATTACTTGTGCAACGAAACTGACATCAGTTATGTGGCAATTCCATCAAGCCTTTACCAATACTGGTCCACAATCAGAAAAAAGGTATAGTAAATATCAACGTAGGTGAGAAAAAAAATGCCCTGGTTTGCTTCATCTTGCTTCAAAATACTATTGGCCTATTTTTTTTCTATTGGTCAATTCTGTACCACTTTAGTCTTAAGGAATTAGAGCATGGATTGGTCTTGCCTCCCTTTACAGCAAAATGATTTTTTTTCAACAAACAATCAGCATTCCCATGGGGATCAACTGTGTTCCTCTTCTTCCCAACTTGTTCCTTTATTCATATGAAGCTGACTTCATACAGGAGCTTCTTAGGAAGAATGAAAACAATAAAGCATTATCCTATAATTTACTTTTTGCTATGTAGATGATGTCCCCTCAATAAATAAATCAGTTTGGTGATTATGTTTGAACACATCTATCCCATCAAACTTGAAATAAAGAATACAACAGCTACAGTTTAGTCTGCCTCATATTTTGACTTAATCTGGAAATTGATAAAGACGGTCGGTTGAGAACAAAACTTTACAACAAAAGAGATGATTTCCATTTCTCTATAGCAACATTCCAGCAGCACCTTCATACGGAGTATATATCACCTAATTGATGCGATATTCTGGGGCTTGCATTTTCTATCTTGATTTCCTTGATAGAGGGTTGCTGTTCACAAGGAATCTATTAATTCAAAACAAGTGGTGAAATTTTTACAAATGCCATCATGAGTTGGTTGACCGTTATTGAATATCTGTTTCACAGATGACAACAGATATGTTCCAATTGTTGAAAATACAATCATTTCCCCTTTTCCACAATTGTGAACTACTGAATTAGACTTATCACTGGGTTAGTACTTAAATGAGCAACACCACGGATGCCTCATGTGGAGCAGGATCTGTTTACCCTTCCAGAGCATCTGAGATCACCCCCAGTTTTTGGTGGGGTTCTTGTTGCTCAGTCTTCAGTTTTCTATGTTGTGTTTTGTATACTGTTGTTTGTCTTTTGATCTTTTTCGTTTTATGCCATGGCGTTGTCAATCTATTTTCAACTTATGAATTTGAATGTCCCTTTTGTATCTTTTGCCTTTCATTTTTATCCCATAAATTACAGAGATCACATATTTTAAAAGGAATCATCTGATTGTTGGTCTTTGTGACAATATAATGATAGAGGGACATGAATTATGAAACAAAAACGTTCAAAGGGAGACAAATCATGCAATTTTTCAAGTACATCAATGATCAGAACTTTTTTTAAACGTTAAAAACTGTCTTTGAAAAATGAAACTGTGAACTAGTATTCTGTTTTAATTTTTTTTTATTTTTCAAATAATTACATTTCAAGTAAAATTCACAGGTTACTTACAACCATTGCATATGACCATGACCATTAGTCATATAAGTGGTTAGTACTGTCATTGCACTTATGTTCATAATTTACTAAAAGAATGTTTTATTCAAATTATGGTTTTACTGTAGTTAGCATGTTCTCAGTCTTGTGCCCACACTACTGGACATATTTTTTAACCACACAATGGGGATGCATTCAGAGTATGGGAAATGAATTCTTCTAGTTTGATCAATTATATTTGACTTTAAGATACTGCTATAAATGCTTCTTCCAATAAAGAAACAAGGGTGAATTATCCTTCCTTGGACTAAATAGCCCAACCCGTACTGTTGACATTTCCTTTAGCGTAGCATCTAAGCCTAACCTTTCTTGCTGTGATAGCATACTACAATTTGTACTGACATACTGATGACATCTCTACCAATGTAGAAAGTAGACCAAGTCTTCCTTGCTGGGTTAATATATTACAACTTGTGCTGTACTTCATTTCTGCACAATATTCTTGCGGTAAACATCCTTCCTCCAAATCCTCCAGAAATCCCTTATTTAGCAAGGATAATGATGTAACTGTTATCTAAATAATGAAATTATATAAGAGAGAATTATTCATATGAATACTGTAAACAGGGAAATTTCGCAGCAGTCATTCCAAGGACTGAGACTATACATAAATAAATACCATCATGACATCGCAATTTCAATTGACAAATCGCCAATAAAAGACAGCTTGAAAATTTTTCAGTTTACAATTAATGGATATGTGAGGTATTTGGCAATGAGAGATCAAACAGAAAAACAAAGAAAAAAGAAGAAAAGATATGTTACATTTCTGAATTTCAGTATTCTTGTTTTAATGTTTATTATTTATACCTAATAAGAAAAAGGGTAAAGTTTTCCTTTTGAACTCCCAATCAATATGTTTATATATGTCTATGCCTATTCGATCAACAAAAGATGATTCCAAAGAAGTTTACCGAAGAAAAGAAAAACCACATCTGAGACATCACAATAAAAGCCTCCTCAGTACTAGATTAGAAATGAACATTCCACAAAAAATATACGGATTCCATCATCTGAAACAACTGCAAGATAACAATAGATAGGGTTAAACAGTCAACAAAAAAATCATTATAAGCAGTAAATGTGTTTGTTTATTTAAAGGTGGCCATGGCAGTTGGTTTTTCAAGTAATAAGACACAATTTAAAAACTTTGGTAAAATCTTGATTTTCTATTTTTTTGTAGAGGACAGGGTAAAGCCATGTGTGAATACATATGTTTTTGCCTCTAAACATGCTAAACTGGAATAGACATTTATTTTGTGGATTAATCAACTCTTTATTCTGGTATTTCTATTAAGTTTCGTATGATATTATACATGTACAAGCTTATTTTACTTTAATTCCTGGGTTCCCAATTTTTCTAATGGTCCATTTTTTCCTAAATAGTTATTCCAACATTCATTATGGTCATATTCAACATCTATATACTTTGAGTAAATAGTCAAAGACATAGTTGTTTTTAAGTAAAAGAGTTAGTACATCATCTTGTGCAGAGAAATGGGGTCATTTAGGACTGATCATAACTGTACAAAAGAAAAATAAATCCCACAAAAAATTGGTTAAAAGGAATTTTAACAATTTCATGTTATCTTAATTTAAACAGTAAGTATAAAATAAAACTATAAAGAGACAACAACATCCTGGATTCCTGCAAGGAAATGCTTTATTCTGGTCTACATGTTTCACCACTTACAGAAGCGTCTTCAAGACAATTTGATGAGAGGAAATAAATGCTGAAGTACATAAAATGAGGTTCATATGTGGTTACAAAAAGGTTAACAAGACGTTACGTCACAATGATTGGTTTGACAACGTTAAAATGTTAATAATGAAATGTCAGTATCTTTTCCAAAATGGACACCTCCTCACTGGAAATTCCGTACCATTTCAACTGGCTTCACTCCAAATGAAGTACTACTTCCAATTGCGTCGGGAATATGGTGGGACGTATGGTAGTTGCACATGTAGGGCATTCTGGAAATTGCGGTAAATCTGTACTATATTTGCGGTTATGGTACACTATCCATGTTACAAGTTCATTTTGCAAATAAAGTAAGTATAAAAGTTCGGCCAAATAAAGCCCTTATTTCATCCTATTTTTTATTCATGTTATTACCTTCCCTTCTTCTGTATGGTATGTTCTTAACACATGGTCAAAGTAAACAACCCCTCCCAACTTCTTAGGAATGCAAATAGAAACTGTTTTTTATGATTTTTACCTCAGTTCCTTGAACTATAAATCCATACAATCGCTTAGGTTTACTGTATTTACAGTTAAATACTGATTCAGGTAGAACAGCTAACATTTGAGCAAGATGGTGTCCTGTTAAATCTCGTCTGATATGATTAGCTTGAAAATTCCTTGGATAATTTCTTACAGTGTGTTCATCTTCATTGCTCATCTGAAATTATAAATTAGCAACTGTTAAATTATTTTCCATCATCTGAAATTGTAAATTAGCGTTCATGATTTAATAATGTAACTATAAATGACAATTTAGGACATAACTAGTCCTACTGAGATAACTGTAATGGTATTGGCATTAAAAATAAAACTAGATTTATACAGTACAAAAAAGAATTAATATAAGATAACAAGAGGCTCATGAGAGCCTGATATCGCTCACCTGTAAGTTCAGTTTCAGGCATTTGACTTATTTGTAGATCTTACTTTGCTGAACAATTTTGTCATTTACACTTTCTCTCTTTCTATAATAATATTAAAGATAATACATAACCCAAAAACTGTAAAAATTTCCTAAAAATTAACTATTTCTGGACAGTAACCCAACAATAAGTTGTCCTATTGGTCTGAAGATTACTTGGGTAGATCTAAACCTCTTTAACACTTTCACCTATGTCAGTTTTGCTCTTACTGCTTTAGTTTATGAGATGAAAGCCAAAAACTTCATTTGACCCCTATGTCCTATTTTTAGAAACTGCCGCCATGTTTTTGAATTGATAAAATCCCCGAATACAATCTATAAACTAGATACCCTAAGGAACATTCAAATAAAGTTTTTAAGTATTTGGCTAAGTAGTTTCAGAGAAGAAGATTTTTGAAAAAGTAATTAGACTTTCACAAAAAAAAGTTTTAAGGGCAATAACTCCTCAAGGGGTCAATTGACTATTTTGATTATTTGACTTATTTGTAGATCCTACTTAGCTGAACATTTTTGCCCTTCACACTTTCTCTCTATCTATTATAATATTAAAGATAATAACCAAAAACAGTAAAATTTCATAAAAATAAACTATTTTGGACATTAACCCTACAATGGGTGGTCCAATTGGTCTGAAAATTTCATAGCAGATAGATCTTGACTTATTCATTTATTTAACATGTCACTTTTACTCTAACTGCTATAGTTTTTAAGATAAAAGCCAAAACTGCATTTGACCTCTATGTTCTATTTTTAGCCATGGTGGCCATGTTTGTTTATGGATCAAAACTTTGGATACCCTTTATAAACCAGTTACCATAAGGAACATTCAGTTAAAGTTTAGAAGTATTAGGCCCAGTAGTTTCAGAGGAGAAGATTTTTAAATGTTAGCAAACATGATGAACAAATTGTGTAAAATTGTCTTTAAAGGGCAATAACTCCTTAAGGAGTCAAGTAACAATTTTGGTCATGTTAACTTTTTTGTAGATCTTACTTTGCTGAACATTTTTGTTGTTTACAATTTATCTTTATCTTCAATAATATTCAAGATAACCAAAAACTGCAAAATTTCCTTAAAATTACCAATTTAGTTGCAGCAACCCAACAATGGGTTGTTCGATTCGTCTGAAAATTTCAGGGCTGATAGATCTTGACCTAATGAACATTTTTACTCCTACTTGCTCTAAATGCTTTAATTTTTTAGATATAAGCCAAAAACTGCGTTTGACCCCTATGTTCTATTTTTAGCCATGGCGGCCATGTGTTTTGATGGATCAAAACTTCGGATACAATTTATAAACTAGATATCCTAAGGAACATTCAGTTAAAGTTTGAATGTATTTGGCCCAGTAGTTTCAGAGGAGATGATTGTTTAAATAGATTATGACGAAGACGACGACCAGCAACCACGACAGACGACGATGGACGCCAAGTGATGGCATAAGCTCACATAGGGCCCTTTGGGCCCAGTGAGCTAAAAAGGGCAAGATATATTATATTGTAAAAACCAACATAGTTCTCTTTAAAGTCTCACCACTTCTCCCTAACATTCTGAATTAGTGTGAGTTGTTGAGTCTGTTTTATAGTAGAATACCAGAAATTATATGTTTAAAATATGTCTTGCATATTTGCCCTTCAAACTTCAGAAGAAAAAAACAATTGCCAAAAATACTCTTATCTTCATATCTTAAAATCCATACTCAAGATATATGCTACAGCTTTTTTTGTAATATTTTGTCCTGTAAAAAGTGTCTTATATACTAATATATATGCAAGATGGAAACTTTTAGGTAAGACTTTTGTTGATATTCATTTTAATTACACATATAAAGACATTTGTATAATTTTTCAGTGACATCACAAATGACATTTTTATATCAAATGACAAACCCCTGTGCTTGGTCCAAATTCAAGATTTTTTCTCAGTCCATAGTATATTATTATTATGCATACTTCTATAATAGCAATAACTGCATTTTCATATACTGGGTCTATCACAATGGCATCTGGTTCAGCAGTTACTGTGGTGCTGCCAATTTTTAATTCATAAGCTGGAATATTTGGAACACACCTTCAAAATAAAATAAATGTTTTAGACTAAAGACTGCAAGGGGCCTGTATTGCTCACCTAACATTTTTGCATAAAATTAATACAATGCAATTAGAATATTACAAATGTATAACTATTTGTCTTTAATTAAAATGAAGCAATATCTTTTAGATTCATTTCTGTGTAAGCATTTTGTAGATCTCGTATAACTGATAATTATTGTGGTTTATAGTTTCTACCTTTTTATTATAGTTTCTAGTATTTTAAATTTTAAATGTTATTATATCAACATTTAGGCTTAAAGTAAATACATTTTGTACAATGAAATCTAAAGTGAGATGATATAACATTTGTTTTAGATTGATCTAATTTTAATACAGTATGACAAAATGACAACATGATTTGTGTTTATGCATATAAAAGAATCTACTCACATTACTTCAAGGCCAAATATCTTAGCATATCTTGCAAAAAGTTCTAAGAACATTCCTCCTGATAGACTTTTTCTGTTTTCTCTTTTCTGGACCATATATAACAGCTGGGACATGAATTGCTGCACCCTCTCCAATATCCTATTATGTAAAATTTGACAGCATCTTTAATGTTTTGTTTATCACTAACAAAACTATTCAAATACCAAGATCACAGTAAAGTGAAACACGTATAAAGTAGGGAAAGTCTTTTTGTAGAAGCTGGGCTTCCTACATTTTTGTAAATCAGACAACAATTGATATACTGTAAATTCAGAAATTATTGCAAGGTTTTTATCAATGCGAATAATGCAACTAGGAGAGTATCGCAATAATAAGAACTCGCTTTTTGATTACTTAAACATAGATCTGTATGTAGATTTTCTAAAATCGCAACAATTAAACTCACATTCTTGTCCATTGTTGAAAAATTGCAAGAATAAATGCACACAATAATTTTTGAATTTACAGGATGTATAGCATTATGAAAAAGTCTGTATAATGTTGAAGATTTTCATAAAATATATTCTACATTTAAAACAAGTACGACCATATGCATGAAACATGATAACATTCTTTATTATATATTAGAATATATATATACATAGATATAATAAGATGTGGTATGAGTGCCAATGAGACAACTCTCCATCCAAGTCAAAATTTAAAAAAGTAAACCATTATAGGTCAAAGCACGGTCTTCAACACGGAGCTTATATGCAATGTATGCAATAATTTGATTAACAATTACTTGTATCTGGACCATGTGTTGTTTGTCTTTGGTCATTGTTAGTTGTATATTTGTGAATTTGCAGGAGCCGGGTAGTGGTGATCTGTGATTAAAATTGATCGTAAGTCATACTAAAATGTTAATGACATGCGAGTATTTTTACTCATAAGATTTTTTTTGAAAAGAGCCACTGTATCATGTGTATGGTACTTTTGTTTATTCCTGTTATTCCTTTTTGGTGGCAGTGACCATGGTGACCGTGGGGTTTTGTGTTGCTCAGCCTTTAGTTTTCAGTGCAGTGTTTTTCATTATTTTTTCTTTTTGGCAATGGGGTCTTTTTGACGTATTATGATTCTTGATTGTGCGAAGGTATTTTCTGCTCTTTCATTTATCATGTTTATGTATTATTCATTATTTATTTATCGGATTGATAATCAATTTCTTAAATTGTGAATATGGTTATCTTACCTAACACATATTTCTGTTAAATCAGTTTTAGAAGTACAGGTATGCATGCAATCAATATCCAGCCATTCTTGAATATCTTGACATAGTTTTATACTTTTCAGTTTTTTATATAACTCCTCTATTTGTTGAGATGTAAGACAGTCAACAGATTGAGCCTCAAAATCCATTAAGGATTTAACTACAATTTGGTAACAATCAAGTTTTGCACGGTGTCTTGGGTCTGATCTTGTACTTCCTTCTTCTTTCCTACCAAAAATATCATAAGGGCTAAAAGAAATGTCAAACTTCTGATTAATTCTGAGAGAAGGAAGAATGCTTTCTGTCCAACTCCTGGCATCTGCAGGAATGTCAGCTGTAATGGATATTTTTCCTACATGAGCCTGGGTGTCATTTTCAGTTGAACCCCTCCTTTTGTTTAGAGGAGAATTATTGTCTGTGTCATCTAAATAGTCAGTGGCGTTTCCGTGCCCTCGTTTAAGTGAAGAACAGGTCGACGTTGGTTTGTCCGTTTCCTTTTTCATGATTGTTAACAGGGGAATACAATTGAGGGGAATGAAACCATTATCATGACGGTATATCGTATTGTTCTGTAGTTTTCCTCTTTTAACTTGGAGCACCCCACACTTATGACTATGTGCGTGTCTGTGACGTCAAAAGTACAATCACATCATTTAATGTTAATATTATACTTACAAGCAAGGTGGGCTAGACAATAACTTGCGTTAAATCTACCAATAGGTATTAAACACTGGAAAGAAAACCGTAAATGTTTTCAGATAATTCTTTCTTTCTTTTTTTATTAAGAGGTGCATATTTTAAGTCTTATAGGTGTCTGATCACCAATTCAAAATCCCTATCTATTCAACCAAATTTTGCAATTTTCACAGCTTTCTTAATATTTTACCTTAAGTTAAACTTCATAGAAACCAGGTATATCCTGAATTGTACATGTATCCCCTCTCTACATGCCAATTTTCAACCCATGTTTAAAGTCATCTAAGAAAGAACTTCCTTTCAGAAGACAAGTACTACTAAAATAACCCTTGGTTTTCTGGAAATCTTGAACTAGTATACTATGGAGCACATTAATCCTCAATTTTTAATGCAAACTCATAGACAAGTAAATTTTGGCTCAAAATGGTCTAAATATATTTTTCTTTCACCAACAGTTTCATTTCTGCAAATTTTGTTGGTTAGTTTAAGTAAACAATGACATCAAAAGCACTATTTTGTGTCAGAGTAGGGCTACTTTTACATATTACGTTCTAAATTGGAGGGAGTGAATTGGTGGTCTGACACCTAAAATGTATTGCAATTAACTGAAAGGGTTCTAACTTGTTTTGATTTCCCTATATGATTACGAAAGAATGCTGCTCAACTGTTTGTGCAATTAAGTACCAGAGTTTCAAGTTCACTTAGTTGACAGAAATATATGGTTTTAATACTTATAAATGTACTCGCATCTTTCCAAGCAAAAAATTGAGAGTGTAAGTAAGAGCTACCGACTTCAATTAAATTTTGTGATGATACTACATGAAACCTGTTTTGAATGGCAGTATCCAACCAACAGATGTATCTTCCTGTAGTAGCCAGCCCATTTTGACACTGCTTTCTAAATTATGAGTGTTTTTTTTTTCCTTGTTCCAAGTTAGTCTTCATCCTGCTTGGCGGCTGCACTGTGCAGCTTATTGTGTTTCTTATATAGCTTATGATATATGGTCTTGATAAACAAATGGTAAGGTTTATCATCAAATAAAACTGGTTTAACCCCACCACATTTTGTATGCCTGAGGTTGTGCCAAAATAGATTATTTCGACCCGAGTATATCATGGTTGTGTGTCTTGGTTTGTTTGTCTTTTATTAGGAGTTAAATTGGGTTTGGTGTTCATGTAATCTATTGTACTTTGCAGTATGCTACAGGGCTGTCGAGTTTTCATGATGCAAATGCGTGACATTTGGCAAAAATTGTAAAGATCAAAGAGAAAAAACAATAGATCAAAGGAAAATGCCGCCAAATAAGCATGAAAATGTGTGACAGCACTGATGTTAAGGGATTCCGGAAATCAAAAAATATTTATAACAAATGTGTGGCAAGTACAATGTAGTTCAGCTGTCAAATAAAAAAAATCGTAAGGGTTCCGCGGAACCGTGTGTCTCGCCTACTTTTGCTGTTGTCTATGTTTTCAGTGTGATAGGGGAATGCACATAATAGATTTACAGTTAATGAAATAAATGTTTGAAATGTATGAAAAAAGTTATGCTTATTATTATTATTAAAAATTTTCCTCTAGGTACTATCTTTTGATTGTAAGAAGCTTCTGTCCAAGTTTGGTAAAAATCCAGGATGGTTTATGAATCTAATAAATGTTTTAAAAACTTTAACTGCAGACTGTATGTAATGTTAACTGGGAGAATCAAAGCATCGTTGATGTTGTGATCCAGTCATATTGATAACTAGTCTGATATTCTTTCTGACCATTCTTTTTTCAATATTTTTTTCCTCTTTTCATTTCCATAATCTTACTGTAAATGTTTTATGTTGTTGTCAAATGATAGGGAATTTTGCAACATTGATGCAAATATATATATTGATATTTCAATTTTAAACACTGTCAGATTTTTTTTTATAAATATTTGCAATTTAAAGGTTTTGACAAGAATGGAAAGGGAAATTGTCAAACAAGTGATATATCTTTTTATATGCCATTAATAATAATTGGATTTCCAGAAAGAGGCCTTGGTAATGCACTTTTTCAACAACAAAAATTTATAATAACTATTTTTTATCTAAATTATTGTTCATTCTACATTTAGAAAAAATACATTTCCTGTATTCAAATTTTAATGTACAAATACCTAATGCTGAGATACACGTATTTCCATTTATTGTTAAATAGCAATATAATGAATGGAGAACAAATAAATTTTATTGCAGAATATGCTCAGGAAAGAGTTATGCAATTTTAGTTTATTGTTTCAACCAAATTTCTGATAATTGTAACTAATTAATTAGAACTTGATAAATGTGTTCATGTGCAAAAAAGAAATTTATTATAAAAAAAGAACTTGATTATGATGATAATGACACTGATTTTACAAGTGAAATAAAATTTGCTTGCATTTTTATATTTTACATATTTTTATATTTTTTTTTTTCTTTTCTTTGAAAAAACCCACATTTGATTAATCATTCAGCTAGCTTACACACAAAATTGACAGAATATTTCAATGAAGTGTACATCAAAATAAATAATACATTTGTAGGTTTACAATTGAGGTCAATAATTTGTGTATTCAGTTAGGTGTGTAATATATTGTGTCTATTTAATTATGTAACAGGTCATGAGATATTAACTGTGGGGAATTAAGACTGGAGTTGATTCCAATTAATACTTACACCTTTGAGTGTAATTGTTTGAAAATCATGAGTTGATAATCATACTGGTATAGTATCAACAAAGGAAGAATTGGAGTAATAGCATTTCAAAAAAAGTGTGGGAATCAACTTAGATATATCAATACACATCTTGAGTGACCCAAATTTTCTTCAATAACTTACACAGGCATAAGATACTAATAAAACACTTTCAAAATTCTTATCAATTGATTAAATTGATGTATATTATTTTTTCACATTAATTCATAAATAGTAAATTATTATAAAATAATTAAATTTTGATTTAGAAAGGAACTATATGCAGGTGTATATCTAAAATAAAGTCACTATTTGACCAATATTTTCTAAATTTAAGGGCAAATAACATGTCAAAAGTTGCTAGTTGACGATTAAAATGGTGTATAAAGTTTCTGCAAGTCATAAAAACACATAATTAGTTTCATGATATGTCTTCAACTTAGTATTCTGCACCATCTCCAAAAACAGAGTGATCGCATAGATCCAGCATGGCTGAATCGAAAACTAAGTCCATTTATAAGTAATATACGGATAAACAGGATTTTTTTTAACAAAATTTACTTCTAGATACTATCTTGTGATCATAAACAAGCTTCTGTCCAAGTTTGGTAGAAATCCAGGATATTCTAAGAAAGTTATTAAAATTTTAAAAACTTTAACCACTGAGTGAATGTAATGTTAACTGGCAGAAAAACTAAGTCCATTTATAATTAAAATACGGATAAACAGGATTTTTTTTTTACAAAATTTACTTCTGAATACTATCTTATGATCATAAAAAAGCTTCTGTCCAAGTTTGGAAGAAATCCAGGATAGTTTAAGAAAGTTATTAAAATTTCAAAAACTTTTACCACAGAGTGAATATTTGTGGACGCCGCTGCCGCCGCCGACAGAATGTAGGATCGCCTTGTCTCGCTTTTGCGACAAAAGTCGCAGGCTCAACAAAAATGGATGTCCACAAATCTTCAAACACATTACATTAAGTTATGTATTGTAGGAGCTGCTGACCCTTCTGGCGTCCTGACATGATTTTGGTTGGGATTCTGTTGCACAAACTTTGGTTTTTAGTTTAACTGATAGTATTTTTTTTGTTTTTCCCATGGTCTTTCTTCAACTTATGATTTTGAATGCCCCCTTAGTATCTTTTCCATGTTTTACCTTTCAAAATATTTTCCCTGAAATTTTTCATCATTTGTTTTACCGTAGAAAGGCTTGTATAGTCCGCGGTTTTATTCTCCAAAATTGGACCTTCCAGACGGGGTGCGGACTATAGAGTACAATAAGCAAGAAATAAGAGAAAAATTTCAATTTCGCGGTCGAGGTGGTTTGTTTACGTTCCGCCATCTTTGTTATTTCTATTGTAGAGGGCGCTCTTATCATTTTTCAAACTAATAATTTTAACTCATCCATATTAATAAGTTATTTCTATTCAATATCAAATTAATACTGATAAATATAAAAACTAAACCTTTCATTACAAATTTCTCGTTTCTTTTCAATGCATTGGTTGAAATAAACTGGTATCTGCTCGATTGAAACGATACAAACATAGTGAAAAAGACAACCGTAAACCAGCTTAGAATTTGTAAACTACAAAACGAAATCGGTTTATGTTCGTTCCGTTTTGGTGTTTCATACTGACTAATATGGTTTGTATTAGCTTAAGACCCTTCAAACATTAATGTGATAGATATATTAAAGACTGTTTTACAAAAGGATGGAACTGTTTTGCTTTCAAAGTCGTATTATAGTGATATCTGTTATGTACGGATTCGACTCTCACCGGTTAATTTCTTCTTTTACACGTGCTTTTTAAACTTCCTGTTTAAACATACACAAGTTTCTAAATTGTTTTTCAAGTGAATTAAACTTATTTTAACAATCATGAAGCGTTCTAGAATCATTAACAAGCAGTTTCAGCTTCTGTTTGATGATGGAAAACAGGTTTTTTCAAGAAAATACCGCAAACGACCGCACAGGATTTGAAATTACCGGAGTTTCATTAGACCTTTTCTAACAGTTACAAAAAGTTTTTTTTCCTAAAATTTCGTGGGGAGAAGGGGGTGCGGACTATGTACCACTGCGAACTATACAAGCCTTTCTACGGTATACAGCCTTATTGTATTACATGATCAATGGCTAAAAATGTCTTACTTTCAATTTTGCATAAACTGTTTTGTACTGGATTGTAACCCTTGGCTAGTGAAGATGACCTAAGTACAGAAATATATATTATATGAATAAAAAGAAGAGATAAGGGACAACAACCCAGCAACACAAAAAAATACACCTATAGGTAGTATATTTAGAAAGGCGAAGGAGGAGGATTGTGTACAAATAAAACTGGTTATCCCCACCACATTTTGTGCCTGAACCACTTATCATTTGTTGTTCTTGGGACTTATATTAATAGTAGCTTGTACATCTATTGTTCAGAGGAGACAGTTGGTCTATTGTAATGGGCAATATTTTTTCTAAACCCCATTAATCTTTTTATGTTGTGGATAGTTTTTCATTGTAGACACTTTCTGGGTTTTAAGGTATGTTAAGTTCTGAAATGGTTAAATGCTTGAAGTCTTGAAAAGTTGTGAATAAAGTCAAAAGGCTTTTAAAGTCTGTCTTCAAGACCAATTTTATGGAAGGATGAAAATTGAAGATACATCCTTGATGAGACAACTGACTTGGGACAGACACATAAACATGATTGTGGCAGGGTTCAAGTAAATTTTTAGAATTCATCTTCAGATGAAATCAATTCTATGATACATGTACCAGTATAAGCCCCTCCCCAATAAATTCCTTTAATGGAAAAAAAAACCCAAGTTATACATATGAAAGAATGCTTGCAGTTGCTTTTAAAAAATGCAAGGTCAAAGTACTTAACCTGCTGATACCTTTGTATTGACATCATGCTGTCCTACACTCTTTATGTTGGCTGTTGTGCCTTTGAGTAGATTTCATAAAACAAGTCATATTTTTAGGTCTATGTACAATTTTAATGCAGGACACATGACCATCTCCTTTTAATAGATAATATAACTAAGATGCACTTGCATACAAAGTCTTCTAGTCCATGCCAACTACTTCTGGAGATATTTACTGTGGACTCAATCTTGAAACATAATAAATTTTGTCACAGTTGCCAAATAGCTGCAGAGTTATAAAGTTTCTTGAAAATGCTTTATGATGGAAGACAGAAGCCAACTGATGACAAAAGCATCATTTTGGTTCATGTTGGCTTACCTGACCGTGCAAGATCCTAATGGATAGTCAAGGTCATTAAACACCTCTATTAGTATGTTGGCTTAAAAAAAGAAAAGGAAAAAAAAAACCACAAATTTTAAGTACATAAGATTTTTATTTTCATGAAAAATTTATATCAGTTCATGTCATGTCTACCTATATTAAACTTCCAGGAAACATCTACATGCATGCATAAAATGTACACAATGGTTATGAAGATGATTTATAAAATATGCTTGTTAAACCAATAATAAACAATATAATATTCAAATATTTTGATGATTCAACTACTTTTTGCAAAAAGCAATATGGTCATATCTTGATACTTGTGTACCAATATTAACCAACCAAAAATATCATCTACTAGCTTAAATATATCAAGCTCTACATAGCCCAAAAAGATAAAAAAAAATCAAAGATCTGTCACAACCAACACTAATTTCAATAAAGGACATAACAACATTCAGATATACCTAAACACAACTATTGACAAAGTTCCTGACCTGGCACAGGCAATTGAGCATGTGGATGGGTTAACTAATTTTTTGAGATCTTTTAAAACTTTCTTTCACTTCTAAATCTTGATCAGTGGAACAACAAAAGCTAAATAAATGAATGTACAATAAAATTAGTGCAAGAAAGTTCTTAATTTAATTCATGATATAAAATCTTTCCTTTATTCACTGTTATACACTATTTGTCCATTCTTAAGGACATCAAATACATAGATAAATCATTGTTAATTATGGCCAGGGATAAAGCACTTAAATCTACTCTTTATCTAGTTCAAATTTGAAGATTTACTGTAAGAAATAATATGGCTTAAAAAAAAAACAACCTTGTATGGATAGGACGAATAGAGGGGTTGAAAGAACTTTCAATTATTGTCGTAATTTTCAGTGATTATATCCCTACAAAGTATAGTACAGAATCTACTGGTATTAAATTTTAAATTTAATATTTTGATAAATTTCAATGTTCTAACACCCCTATATTTCTGTAAAGGATGTATTGGCCTTCTGATTTGTAAAAGATCTGACCATAACCCTAACATTCAAATGATGAACAATATTTTCTACAAGTGAGAAGGTAACTAAATTAGGCATCTAGTACTTATGTCCCCTTTTTTAGAAAAAAAATAGTTTCAAAGTATAAAACCTGGTTATTCTTGTTTTCATCATAAAAATTAAATATGCAGCATTACTAATATACAAAATTTAATGTTTATATAACTAACATTTGTTTGTTATGAAATACTAGTCTTTCACATACCAACTGCAAAAAAAAAAAAAAAAAAACAGAAAAAAAATCTAAAGACAAATTTCTATTATTTCATGAAAATACATCATGTGTACATAAGATCCATCTAAACTGTCTTTCAGTGATAATGTATAGTTTAATGACAGATTCTTACTTGACAGGCATATGAATTGCATGAATAATTTGATTTTAATGCTAAAGGAGCAACCACTGGCTAAATGACCTTTTCTTTTATTAATATTCTGACATTTTTATGACTAAATTACTGATATGAATGCTCTATATCCATAATTCTTCATACTTTAAGAGCTTGTAAGGCAAATGAATGATTCAGGACCAATGTTTTAATACACATTTGCTATAATATATCAATATTTTCAAATAATGACTTAAGATTTTTTCTGTTAACACAATTAATAATGATAATTACTTCTTTCCAAAAATAAATATATTTATACAATAAAAACTTGCCATTCTTGAAATAAAAATCTTCATAATAAAAATTTGATGAGTCATTTGCTCTAAAGTTTTTATTTACACATAAGATATATAATTTACAAATATGCATATAAAATGTAATATCAAAAAATGGTAAACATCTTAAACATGAAAATGTCATAAATATTGCATTTGTATATTACTGTATAAAGAACCCAAAAAATAATCCTGCTGCAGCATGAAACTGCCACACATTCAATTAAACTTGTGTCTACACACAAATGTACATGCCTTTAATAAGTGAAAATATTTTTTTTGTCTCATACTTTTTTAGATAAAAATTATCTCCATTATATGACATTACAATCAAGTCTATAAGCAAGGGTCAAATTGTGAATAATTTTTAGATAGATGACATTTTACTGATTAATGTGAAACTTGCAATGTAAAATGCAGTATACTGTGTTAGTCATAATATGTACTTCAAAAAGAGTAATACTTCCCTAAAACCAATTTGAATCTAGCCATAAAAATTGATATCAAGTATAATTAATCCATAATTTGAAAGATCATTATTTCAACTGTTTTTTTTATTCATCCTTTTTATCTGTGCCTCTCAAAGATTTATAAGTTTAGATATGTTTACATCAGTGAGAGGACTCATAATAAATTTGAATATGAGCTCTGGACCAACAAAATCGAAATCTACACATCTTTTAAAATTTATCAAAATGAGGCAGTTTGACTGGTATGAAAATGATACCAAATATGGAATTTGGTATAAAAAATATAAATTTAGTTAATAAAAAAATCTAAAATCAAAAAGTGTGCTGCCATTCCTAATGACATAGAAACATTCCATAATTAGGATGATAATGTAAAAATAACTCAAAATAATCCAATTAAACCATCTAAATCATACAGGTGAACAAGATTAATCTCCCTTTGTTGAAAAAATGTTTCTAATCTGAAATTTTGCTGATTTTAACATGTTTGGAACATCACATCCAAGAAAAGCATTAATGGCTGTCAAAGCTACAAAACTCATTCCATAGAACAGATGCCATTCAGAGAACACTTTGGTGAAGATTTGACAGAATGCCATGGTCATAAGGAACAGCAGATTGGCCTGTAATAGAAATAAAATAGGGGATTATCTCCCTGTATAAGATGATTCAGTAACAATACATAATTGCTAGTGATTTACAAAAACCATCAGACTCCAGCCATCATCAGCCTGTTTCACAGCAAATTTCTCAACACAGCAATAGTGATGTTTTAATGTAGAAGATGCTTTATTTTCCATTAAATTGGCTCACAACGAGCATATTACAATATAAGACATTATTTTAGACAACAACAAAAATTAAATAAAAAAATAAAAGCAATATATATGATATAAAATCACTTTCATCTGTACTGCACCTTAACTAGTTAAATATTATTTCATAAGGATATAACATTGTTGGAAAGGGCATTTTCAATTCTGTAAAATATGACTTCATTAAAGTGGTTTGCTAGATTTAAGCCAACCACAGATAATTTTCATGATTAACATAAAGAAAAAGTGCTGCCTAACATGCCTAAATAAACAAAAAAACTATTTTCAGCAATTAAATCACCAGAAAAAACCTTTTCCTTGTAAAAATTTGTAAGGGTTCAGCGGAACCCACTGTCTCGCCTACTTTTTCTGTTAATCGCAGGCTCAACAAAAATGAGGAAGTAAATCAATAAAAATATTCCTCTTGATACTATCTTTTGATTGTAAGAAGCTTCTGTCCAAGTTTGGTAAAAATCCAGGATAGTTTATGAATCTAATAAATGTTTAAAAACTTTAACTGCAGACTGAATGTAATGTTAACTGGAAGAAAACAAAATTTCCTTCTAGATACTAGCATTTGATCATAAACAAGCTTATGTCCAAGTTTGGTACAAATCCAAAATAGTATAAGAAAGTTATTAAAATTTTAAAAACTTTAACCACAAGAGTGAATGTGTTGTTTCCTGGCAGAAAATCTAAGTCCATTTAAAAGTAAAATAAGGAAAAAATGGATTTATTTTTTTACAAAATTTACTGCTGGATACTATCTTATGATCATAAACAAGCTTATGTCTAAGTTTGGTACAAACCCAGGATAGTTTAAGAAAGTTATTAAAATTTTAAAAACTTTAACCACAGAGTGAATGTAATATTTCCCGGCAGAAAAACTAAGTCCATTTATAAGTAAAATACAGAAAAAATGGAATTTTATTTTTACAAAATTTACTTCTGGATACTATCTTATGATCATAAACAAGCTTCTGTCCAAGTTTGGTAGAAATCCAGGATAGTTTAAGAAAGTTATTAAAATTTCAAAAACTTTAACCACAGAGTGAATATTTGTGGACGCTGCCGACGGAATGTAGGATCGCTATGTCTCGCTTTTTAGACTAAAGTCGAAGGCTTGACAAAAATGATCTTTTGGCTAAGGTTGTGTTAAGTAGATGCGAGTCAAACCTTTAAGATTTTGAAATTATTTGAAATTTGACAGCATTTACTATATACAATATTCATGAAGGTAAAAAGGAAATATTTCAAACAAAAATAGCAATGCTAGAGTGAACTACATATATTCAACATTAATTCCACAACTTAGTTCATAGGTAGATTTGTCCATTGTTAAAATAATACAATTAAAGGGACTTAACTCCCTTAGCATCTTAAATTTGAAGTATCACACAAAACCAGCTTCTTTATATGAATTGCTGATTAATAAATAAGTATAATACGTATAAACTGTTAAACAATTTAAATATTACATGTATTATGAATATTAACCAAGATTTTGCAGTCAAAGGACAGCATAACTCTATTTTTTCTAGAACATTGCATATTTTTTACACACATTTTTTCAAACTTTATAGACAAATAAAAAGAGTGAAGAGTCGTGGTTTTACAAAGAAATTGTTTAATGTTAGATTGACTGATAGAATAGTGGTCATGAATTTTGAAGGATGGAGGCTTATATAGAGCATGTAGAGAAAAAAGGAATTTGGGTATAAATTTATGAATGGGGGCCCAGCATGCATAAACCCTCTTGACAAAATTTGATCAAATATTTAAAAGGAAAATATTTTGGGGTTTATTTTGTAGATCATCTACTTAAATACACAAACATTTAGGAATATTAAATATATATACATTTTTTTAACTTGTGGTCCGGAACACAGTTATCATCCTTTGAATTTCATTGTCTACAAATATAGTCCCTAGTGTGGACAGTGCTTTTTATGCCTCAAATAGCAAGAAGGGGGATAAATTTACACTGTAAAAAAATGTGGGTCATGGATTTTAAAATAAAGTAGTGATTTGGTCCAGACAAAAAAAGATTCAAAATTAGTATGTTTGAAGCTGTCAAAAGGATTCAAGACCCCCTTAACATAAAATTGTCCAAAGTTCGAGTTTAAAGCTGATGAAGTTTTCTATACTTTTGATATAATTTGTCCCAAAAGTAGTACACCACACTGTTAAACTATAATGGAGAAAGCACACATGCGATTTTTTTAATTTTCATTTATTGTCTAAAAGAAATGCATTACAAAAAAACTTTGTTGTCGAGCCATGTTAGCACATGTAATTATCAAGCTTGAATCATGAATTTATCTAAGGCTAGGAAAATACACTGTTTTTTTTTTAATGTTTTGATTCAGGTTAGCTATCTTCAAATTGGCAAGGTAAGTTGGTAAAATGTTTTCCTTTTTTTGAGATTTTATTAGACCTGAATTATTACATTAACATAAATTGAACCTAATCAAAATCTATTTAAGTAATACAATGTATCAAGTTCTTCTTGTCTGTTGCTGATGGTTAAAAACTATGAATCAAATGATCAGAATATGAAATAAATTAAAAACTTTTTGTTTAATTTTTACATTTTTACTTGAATTGCCGACATGTTACGTTAAAAGTGGCAAAAGGCAAAAACAGATCTGATTTTACTTGTTTAAAAACAAATAAGTTTTTTTCTAATTTCATGGTTCATATGGTCCAATGTAATTTTGAGCTAGGGACAAAAAACTAGAGGCTCTAAAGAGCCTGTGTCGCTCACCTTGGTCTATGTGCATATTAAACAAAGGACACAGATGGATTCATGACAAAATTGTGTTTTGGTGATGGTGATGTGTTTGTAGATCTTACTTTACTGAACATTCTTGCTCCTTACTATTATCTCTATCTATAATGAACTTGGCCCGGTAGTTACAGTGGAAAATACTTTGTAAAAATTTACAAAAATTTACAAAATTTATGAAAAATTGTAAAAAATTGACTATAAAGGGCAATAACTCCTTAAGGGGTCAATTGACAATTTTGGTCATGTTGCCTCATTTGTAGATCTTACTTTGCTGTACATTATTGCTGTTAACAGTTTATCTCTATCTATAACAATATTCAAGATAATAACCAAAAGCTGCAAAATTTTCTTAAAATTACCAATTCAGGGGCAGCAACCCAACAACGGGTTGCCTGATTGGTCTGAAAATTTCAGGGCAGATAAATCTTGACCTAATGAACAATTTTATTCTCATCAGATTTGCTCTTAATGCTTTGGTTTCAGAGATATGAGCCAAAAACTGCATTTTACCCTATGTACTATTTTTTAGCCATGTCGGCCATCTTGGTTCGCGGGCGGGGTCATCGGACACATTTTTTAAACTAGATACCCTAATGATGATTGTGGACAAGTTTGGTTAAATTTGTCTTAGTAGTTTCAGAGGAGAAGATTTTTGTAAAAGATTACAAAAATTTATGAAAAATGGTTAAAATTGACTATAAAGGGCAATAACTCCTAAAGGGGTCAAATGACCATTTTGGTCAAGTTGACTTATTTGTAGATCTTACTTTGCTGAACATTATTGCTATTTACAGTTTATCTCTATCTATAATAATGTTCAAGATAATAACCAAAAACGGCAAAATTTCCTTAAAATTACCAATTCAGGGGCAGCAACCCAACAACGGGTTGTCCGATTCATCTGAAAATTTCAGGGAAGATAGATCTTGACCTGATAAACAATTTTACCCCATGTCAAATTTGCTCTAAATGCTTTGGTTTCAGAGATATAAGCCAAAATCTACATTTTACCCCTATGTTCTATTTTTAGCCATGGCGGCCATCTTGGTTGGTTGGCCGGGTCACCGGACACATTTTTTTAAACTAGATACCCCAATGATGATTGTGGCCAAGTTTGGTCAAATTTGGCCCAGTAGTTTCAGAGGAGAAGATTTTTGTAAAAGTTTACGGACGACGGACGCCAAGTGATGAGAAAAGCTCACTTGACCTTTCAGGTCAGGTGAGCTAAAAAGTGTTCATCGGGTAACTGGATCGAAAACATGTTTTTTTTCTTTTTATTCAAGAGCATACAAACTATAGCTTCTTAAACAAACTCCATTTGTTATTTCTGAAAACTGTACAATTCAAACGAGATTGATTGATTGATTGGTATTTAATGACACTTTCAACACTATTGTGCTATTTGGTGGCAGTCAGTTTGTCTTGGCAGAGAAAGCCTGAGTGCCAATAGAGAACCACTGACCTTCAGTGAGAAAACTGACAATTCTCGTCAATTGAGTTTGGAGTCGATCCCACCTGCAAAGTGCTGGATTCACACTCACAACCTAAGTGTTGACTGGCTAGTGATACAGAAGTTTGACTACTTAGACCACTCTGCCACTGAGGCCCCAAATATTCGTACAAGATACATAGTGATTAAAGTGTTTCTTTATATATATGTTATTTTTTTTCTTCTGCAATTCAGTCCAAATAAGTATATACGTACAACACCATGAGATAATAGTATGGACTTCTTGTCTTCCTCTCGCAGGAAGTTGACACTGCGACCTGCTGTGATGGCTAGCATTAGGAAACTAGCTCCCATTCCACGGGCCAAGAAACCATGAGCTGTGTCCAGATCAGTCAGGGTGGTCTAAAAAAAATGACCACAACTTAGAAAATTGTCTTAGTGACCAAACTTTGAGGTCAATTTCAGGAACATAGCATTACATAAAAACTTCATGATAAAATGGTTGCCTACATGTACCTAGAAATGACTTTCATTAGGTTAATTCATTCTCAGGTAAAAAGCAGTTACATTTAATAAAAAATACTAGATATGTATATATGAGTGTAAACATTAAGTTAAAAGAGTTCTAGTTACCGGTACCTAATAATAATAGTAATTAGAGTTCAACACTTGTGCATATTGTTTCTTTATACATCTGAATACCAGTAAATTGTTAACAAGTTTTTAGGATCAAATTACAGTTTATCTCTCTTGATTCAGCTGACTTAATGGAAAAATAAAACACTTTATTTCCTCTGACATGTCTGAGTGTTTTTTTCTGGATTGACCTTCATCATGAACTCTCAAACCTAAACATTTGAACACGTTGAAATTCAGGGATGTAGAAATATGTATAAATGTTAGGACTAACTTTCCATTCCAATCTGTTTGTTATGTATTGTATTACGTTGTATAAAATATAGATTCCAATTTTGATTTTATGAACGAACTGTCCCGGTTGAAAAAACACAAATTGGAAGATCATGTATTGTATTATTTATAATCACAATCAGCATCAGAGTTTTTTTTCATATAAATGTGAGCGTGAATCTGTGTTATAATTTTTCTTTTTCTTAATTATATGATTGTAATATCTCTTTAATTAGGCTTTAAATTAGTTTATAGTTTATAAATGGTTTGACAATCTTTATGCATACATCATACTATCTGAAGTATTATTTGGAACGATTTAGCATTAAGTAACAATGACTTCTTCAATGCAAGTAGATGCTTTAAAAATTAATCAAAACCACATTAACGGTACCAATTTTACTGCACCACGAAGTGCAAATAAACATTCTAATGTAGAATCTTACCTGAAACTGACATTGTATCCGTGGGAAAACAAAGGACAATATACCATGGAGGAACCAAATAAGGAAATCCACCCTGATGTTCACATTTCTCCATGTTTTGCCTTGTTCTGAATATCCTCCCCAGTCTGACTCTGCCAAGGAGTAGTATAGATATCCAATAAAAAACAGCACTGTAGCCGGCCATGACACTTGATACAACTGAAAATAATGAACATGATAGGTGTTATCAAAGTGTAAGAAGTGTGAAATATTTCAAATTATAGATGTAACATATCATTAAAATACTGTAACATGATTTCTTTTTGCAGGGTTAACTTTTCAGAACTTAATTTTTTCAACTGATAAAATGCGAATTCAAATAACAGGACAAAGTGATATCAAACATAGACTTAATTAGTACTTCATAAGAAAAGTGGATCTGTTTGTTTTTAGGTAATTCTGCCTTTATAAATAATGCAATCAGATTTTTTAATATGAGTTCAAATAATTAATGAGATACTTTTAAATTTACCTTCACTTTTTTGCAAATTATTTCTAGTGGTTAATTCATAGATAAAAAAAGATGTGGTATGAGTGCCAATGAGACAACTCTCCATCCAAGTCACAATATGTAAAAGTAAACCATTATAGGTCAAAGTATGGCCTTCAACACGGAGCCTTGGATCACACCGAACAGCAAGCTATAAAGGGCCCCAAAAATGACCAGTCACGGGCAGTGTAAAACCATTCAAACAGGAAAAACCAACGGTCTAATCTATATAAAAAAACGAGAAACATTTATGAACCACATCAACAACGACAACCACTGAACATCAGGTTCCTGACTTAGGACAGGTGCAAACAAATGCAGTGGGTTTGAACGTTTTATCTGGCGCCAACCTTCACCCTAACCTGAGACAGTGGTGTAACAATACGACATAAAAGGACACACTATAAAACATTTATTGAAAAAAGACTCCATTCATCAAAATATGAATACTAACAGATTTTAGACAAAAGTTAGACCATGAAAACCAAATTACCAAATAGTTAAATTATAAACCACAAAAAAATATATTAAATCCAAAACCAGTATGAAATAATTTTGCCAAACAACTGGTCACTTATGGACCATCAAAAAGAGCTTGTTGAGAAGAATCTTTAACGTGCAAAGAGCATGGTACTCCCTGAACACGGGACCTCAGATTTAACGTCCCCATCCGACAGACATTTTCATGCCTGTAAACATGGTAAACAAGTTTGGACAAACAAAGATATCTTGTTTTAAAACAGAATATCATGATAGCTAGATAATCTCAGATGAGAGGGTCTGGATGGAAAGCCCTTCATTTTTTTTATTCTTTAATTTTTTATATCATTTTTCTCTATTCTTAAAATGTTATGCTTATTATTCTCTATACTTTAAAGACCTTCAGAATAATAAACAAATTCTATTAATAACAGAAAATATCCAAGCTTTTACAATACATGAAAATATACATATAATTCAGATGTACATGAAATCACCATGAAATTAGTGACACATGTATGTTATTGAAAATGGTAGCTTAAAAGTCAAATAGGGTTCTTACTGAATTGTAATATTGAGCCCTAGTACATTGTAGTATAATACATTTACTTGTGTATTTAAAAAAATACTGTTTGCATATTCAAGAATTTTCAGCACCTGCACATTTTTATGACACCACATATAAGTAGTAGTAGCTTTGGCATAATTAAGTCAAATGAATACATCAATATATGTGTTTATAAGTTATTATTTTCGCTGTCAGTGTTTGTCCTAGAAATGATTTGAAGAATGGGGGATTGACTATTATAAAATGAAATGATTGTGATCATGAGAGTTATAGGTAATTTCAAATTTTTAAAATGTCTATAGTCTTAAGCTTATATGAACAATAAACTTTTTTTCACACGTTTCTTGGACCATAAAAGGGGTGCGCACTATACACCCCAAAAGAAGGTAGTTATTTGTTGAATAGGTCTGTAACAAATCTTACAACATTGAAAATTTCAAGTTCAACAGAACAGAAAATAAAGTCTATGATATTTACATTCAATTCTTCAAAAAAGCAATAAACTGACTTGCACAAGTCTCCTAAGTTTCTGACTTGTTTATGTCTGAGCTCAAACTGTTGGAAAAGGGAAAGTTTTATTTCTATGACTTATTTATTATGAAAACCCATGATAAACAGGGGTGAAAAAGGAAGTAAAAATGTGGTCACATGGCATAAGAAATTATATAGTTTTGTAATTCTTACCTTCAAATTGATGTTGTTCTTCTTGCTGTCTGCTGCTGCTTTCATGGTGAAGTGCATCAACATTGATATGGCAGCAAAGTACTGTTAAAAAAAATACAAAGTAGTCATTCATCATGTTCATAAGTACAATATTAAACAATTTACAATGTTTCATTTATCGCCAAGTAAAGTATTGCCCTGGTAAACATTTTTTGCACATTTACCTGTTTGTGAAGAATTTTTTGATATATTTCGAAATACTTAGCTTGACGTTCTTCTTAATAAAGGTTACAACAATGATATGTACATGTATACTGTTGTTGTTAGATAATCAAATCTTTTCTTTGTTTAATATCAATTTGCTTTTTTACCACCTTTATAAATTGTGTGCAAAACTCAGCATACATGTAACCTTGACAGACTTTATGTTTTGGAGTTTAGTATGGCGTCCATTTTCACTGAACTAGTACACAATTTTATTTAGGGGCCAGCTGAGGACCACCTCCGGGTGCGGGATTTTATCGCTGCGTTGAAGACCATTGGTGGCCTTCGGCTGTTGTCTACTCTTTGGTCGGGTTGTTGTCTCTTTGACATATTCTCCATTTCCATTCTCAATTTTATTATTAATAAAGGTTACAACAATGATATTTACACTGTTGTGCTTATTTACCATGTTAACCATGTTTATAAATTGTGTGCATAACTCAGCATACATGTAGTTGGAAACACAACACACATACAGTATTTCCATTTTTTCCCCTTTATATTGAAATTCTATACTTTATTTTTTGTTATCTACTTTTGGCAATATACTGTCTGTTCATGATGTTGCTACTTGTATATGAAATCTACTAAAAAGTACATGTTCAGCAACAAGTATTAGACATGTTAAAGTGTTGGGTGGCATTATTTCTCAATCATCAGATTATGCACTTTGAGCTAGCTTTCAATAATTGTGGGCATACTTACCCACTTCCTGTTAACAAAGCTGTTATGTTTTCACTTTTGAATCATTGTCATGGATTATGTTTCAGACTTACCAATGTTCTGGCCCAAAGCAGTGATGTCTTAGCCTTTGAGTCATAGTCATGGATTTTGTTACATAGACTTACCAATGTCCTGGCCCAAAGCAGTGATCTTCACCTTTGAGTCAGTCATGGATTTTGTTTCAGACTTACCAATGTCCTGGCCCAAAGCAGTGATCTTCACCTTTGAGTCACAGTCGTGGATTTTGTTTCATAGACTAACCAATGTCCTGGACTAAAGCAGTGAGATGTCCACAGTCATAGACTTACCAATGTCCTGGACCACAGCAGAGATGTTTTCACTGTTGGGTCACTTGACTTTCTTGTTAAGATATGTGACAGAGCGTCAGCAAGCAGAATTATACCCAGACATCTGATTTCCTGGAGATGGAGGGCATCAACCTTGTTCTGAATCTGAAATATATATGTATATATTGAATACCTTTTTTTTTTACTTATATACATGTACATTGGACATGCAGTCACAGTTCAACTTACAATGGAGTATGTTGACTCTGGTCCTACATTGTAATTAAGACCTAATTTAAACTAATCATTTACCATTGAAGGAGCCTGTACAAATGCCGTATGCAACTGAAACTGCACAAAAATCCTGAAAATTAACATTTATTGTTTGAAATTTTCATGATGTACATTTTTTTAAATTATCATTAATAATTAACATGACTAATATTGATCCAAATCTTAGTCACACTTAATTTTTTCTCTGTTTTTCTGTCAAATAGATAGGTACATTTTAACTACTTAAATTTGGAAAACATATAAATACAGATGTATGAATAAAAGGAGATATGGGTAAACATTAGATTCAATGAGACAGCAACCCAATAAATAACTAAAAGGTGACTTTTCCTAACAAGAATTGGTTAAGTAAAAATGAAAAGTATTCTGACATTCAATTGTTACAATATAAAAATAAGGAGATACATGTGGTATGATTGCCAATGAGACAACTATCCACTAAAGTTCAAATGAAGTGGATGTTAGCAATTATAGGCAACCGTACGGCCTTCAACAATTCCTTTTCAGCTTAATCTAGAGTTGCTTTTTTATTACAGAGATACATTTATGCTGAGTGCTGAAAAGTGAAGAAAACACTAGAGGCATAAAGACCAGATGAGCATGCCAACTTTGTCATGCTTTTTTAACATGTAGCTAAGAAATGGGCTGTACCTGTAGAACAGGTCAGGAATAACCATTAATTGGTGGATTATACGTAACCTCAGTTAACATACATGTACATGTATAATCCACCATTTGACATATTGTGAGATAGACCAATTGAGGTTTAATGCAGTTTTAATCACACTTTTTTAAGAGATATTTAAGCATCTGTTTGCATATATACCATACCAAGGACATATATTAGTTATAGGTCCGTGACCATACTAAGCTTTGATAACAACTTAGTATAGACATGTAAATGCTTCAGACATTTCATTCTGCATTTTGTTAGAGAAACACAAAAACTAATATGACCTGTCATTTTCCAAATTATAAATTCTGAGCTTTTATCTCTTTAATCTTATTTTTGTTCTGCAGTCTCTTAGTCTTACTGTCAACTTTTACAATAAAATAAGAAGTTGGTACTGATGCAGCCTTAAATTAAAGAGTTATGAATCCGGGTCCGTTCGCGCCCAATCACGTTCGCCCCCTTTTCACTTTCGCACCCTACACGTTCGCACCCAAAGTCCGTTCGCACCCTACACGTTCGCGCCCAATTTTTATTGGTTTTGTCTTTAATAATTTATAAACGAGTTTTGGTAAGTGTATTGCTATAAATATATATTTTTTCATTGTTTCTAAATAAAGTGAGATTCTGACAAGGTTTTTTTGTGTCATGGTAAATGTATTGGCTATTGCTATAAACATATTTTTTTTCATTGTTTTTTAAATAAAGTGAGATTCTGACGACCAGTGATCACCAGTAATATGTTTTTGTGTTGAATAATTTTTAATCATGTTTTGGTTAGTGTATTGTTATAAATGTTTTTTTCATTGTTTCTAAATATAGTGAGATTCTGACAAACGTTTTTTAATGTGTTGAATAAATCTTAATCATGTTTAGGTAAGTGTATTGCTTTCTATATATCTATATATCTATATACATGATATATATATATATATATATAAATTTATTTTTTTCATTGTTTCTAAATAAAGTGAGATTCTGACAACGTTTTTTTTTGTGTTGATAAAATCTTAATCATGTTTTGGTTAGTGTATTGCTATAAATATTTCTTTTTTACTGTTTCAAAAGGAATTGGGATTCTGAAAACGTTTTTTTTTTATGTGTTGAATAATTCGTAATCATGTTTTGGATAGTGTATTGCTATAAATATTTTTTTTCATTGTTTATGAATAAAGTGAGATTCTGACACACATGAGATCAAAGGAACCAAGCTGTTAAAAACAATAATCTTTCATGTCTTTTATTTAAAATCTTCAAAGTTTTACTCATACCAAGCTAAATACATGCAGTATTTACATCAAAGCAAGTTAAAACAACCATGACAACAGTCAATTGTGGAATTATACCTCAACAAGGTATAATCCATCTTTTTACAAAATGTAGCACAGGAAGTTGGAAGCAATTACATGTCACCAATGAGTACTCATCAAAGCTCAAATGCTTAAGGTGGTACATTTATATATGACCTGTAGAAACCTTATCACAATCACTATATCAGGTTAACATGATAAATACATCTACACATATCTTGGCTGATCAGCTGATAGTATATATAAACGTGCAATATATGATTAGTAACTTTTTAAAGTTATCATTTGTAAAATATTACCAAATATCCTGCTACTACTTCTGGGAATATGAGTAATGCGAAACCTTTCACTGCAAACATAAAAGTGAAAAAGTTCTGCCAAATTTCTGGACCCCATGGTACTACGAGCAAAAACAAAATAATGACAAGTGGCAGAATGACATCTGCATCAATTGACGTTAGATAATCTGTTATGAAGTTTAAATCCATCCTATAGACTATAAGAGTTGTTTACATTTGAAATTGAAATTTTGAGCGGTAGACGCCAAAATATAGGTCAACAACATAAAATACGAAACTAAAGCGGATATGCAATGACTTTCCGGAATAAGTCGATCTGTACTAGTTGATAAAACATAATTATGTATATTTCAATAAACTTCATAATTTGCAAAAACAATCATTAAAAATACAAGCAGTTTAAGGTCGGTATGAAAATATACCAACTGATACTCACTAGACTTGAAGAAATTTTATAAAAATATAAAAATGTTTTATAGTCCCAGCATGAACGAATTAATCAAAGCCTTCAAAATGTGAAGTCAAACGCTCTCTATATCAAAAACTTGTTAAGGGATGTACAGGTGTTATGCATTCAAGAACACTGGCTCTTCAATGCGGAAAAGAAAATCATAGCTGAAGTTGCTGAAAATAGCGGATACATAGCTAAAAGCGTTGACGATAATGACGACCCTGATTTCAACGTATCAATGAAAAGAGGATATGGTGGAGTAGCCATAATCTGGAAAAAAAGAAATTAATGAAAATATAAAGGAACTGATAGACGGTGGAAATAGAATACAAGCCATACATATTCAACAAGGAGACAAACCAATATGTCTTATAAATGTATATATGCCATCAGATAACAAAAATGCAGATATCGAATACAAAGACACTTTGGCTCAAATTGATGAAATGATAGAGAAATATAAAGATACACACGAAATTATAGTATGTGGAGACATGAACGGGTCACTCCATAGAAGCTCTACACCTCATGATAAAATTCTACAAACTTTCTGCAAGGAAAAATGTATAGGAAATACTGAGAAATGCCCATTAAAAGAAACATTTTATCACCAGAATGGTAAATCGAAAGGACAAATTGATTACTTCCTCTTCAAAAGTAACTCGGAAATAATAAATAAAATCAGACAAATTGATGTCCTTGACACTGACCCAGAGAATACCTCGGACCATGTACCTGTTATTCTGACACTGAATAGCCAACTGAAAAAAGTAAGGGAAAAAGCAACAACTATCATAGCAAAACCTAAATGGACTGACTGTGACCATCAAATTTATAAGGAAATCATCAATAAAGATCTACCAAACCTCATGCAAAAATCAAAAGGAATCATTGAGCAAGATATAAGAAATCTAGAAAAATTGCTACATAAAGCCGGAGAAGCGGCAATCCCAAAGTATAGAAGAAAAATCAAAATCAAATCAAAGGGAAAGGCGATATGGAATGAACAAATAGAAAAGGCATCAAAGCAATCAAAAAATGCATATAAAGTATGGAGGCAACATGGAGCACCTCAAGAAAGAAGTAACGAGCTCAAAATCAAAATGACAGCTGCAAAAAGAATACTTCGAAAAGCACAAAGACAAGCTTATGCCTCTCAGAGAGAATCAACAGCGGGAAAAATTATGAAAGCTTCAAATGCAGACACAAAACTTTTTTACAAGCTTATTAACATGCAAAGAAAAACACCACTTACTAACACCAAGATACTGAAACTGAATGAAAAGACTGCAGAAGATGGACCAAGCATAATGAACATTTGGCAAGAACATTTCCAACAACTAGCTACGCCAACATTAGAAGAAAATTTTGACACTGAAAAGCTAGAGCTTGTAGAAATACAAAACAATATAATAGAATCCATAGAAAGGGAAAAAGGTCAAGGCATTGATCATGTCAATGTAAAGGAGGTTGATAAAGCTATAGAAAAACTTAAAGCAGGAAAAGCACCAGATGAGGATGGAATTTCGGCAGAACACTACAAATATGGGATGGATGAGTTAACTCCCTTTATAGTACATTTGCTAAATTAAATTTAACATATCTGGATGTACCAATCTTCCTAAAGACAGGGATTCTTACACCAATCCTAAAGAAAGAAAAAGACAAAACATTACCATCTAGCTATAGAGGAATAACTGTGACTAAAACCTTTGCAAAAATATTACAAAGTATACTGAAGGATAGAGTTGACTCTGTATTTAATAACATACAAAACCCCTTGCAAAGAGGCTTTACAGAAGGAGTATCATCACTATGCGCAGCTTTCCTCACATCAGAAGCAATCGAAGAAAGTAAGAAATTAAAGATACTGATGATTTTAATAACTCTTGATGCAGAAAAAGCATTTGACAAACTAAACCATGAAATACTATTCAACAAGTTGTACCATTATGGAATAAAAGGAAAACTCTGGATACTACTGAGAAACATGTATAAAGGCATGAGCATTAAGGTCAAATGGGAAGATCAATGTACAGAAGATGTAATGGTGTTACAAGGAATTCAACAAGGTGCAAAACCATCTACGACGCTATATAAATGCTACAACAACGTCATACTGGATAGCATTTTAAAAAGTGGACTTGGAGTATGTATTGGTAATATACAAGTCCCTGCACCCACAAGTGCCGATGACATTGCTGTCCTGGCAAATAGTACTGTAGACGCACAAGGAATATTAGACATAGTACAGCACCATACAAGCAGAGATCTAGTTAAAATCAATCCAACTAAATCTGAAGCGGTTTTATATAATGCAAAAGGCTCAAACATAACAACACTGCAATTCGAAGACGATGACATCAATATAACCAATGAAACCAAACATCTAGGTATCAAAAGAAACGAGCAAAACCGGGCAAATATCTCTGAAAGAATAAGAACCTGCAGGGCAACAATATACAGCCTTCTCGGAGCCGGTTTACATGTCAGAAGGGGATTCTCACCCATGGTCGCATACAAGCTATGGAGAACATATGCAGTACCAAGAAGCATCTACGGACTTGAGGTGATGAACTTACTTGCAAAAGAAAAGGATATGCTAGAACTGGCAGAGAGAAAAATCCTCCGACAAATTCAAGGGCATCCAAATAATACAGCAAATATGGCTGTCTATACCCTGGTAGGAGCAGAACCTATTGCCATCACATTAGACAAAAATCTACTTACCTTCTTCATGAATATTGTTCGAAATTCAGGAACCATAGAATATGAAATTCTGCGTCGACAAATAGCATTCTCAGACCAAAGAGGAAAAGACTTTATCAACAGAGTGGAAAAAACTCTATCAAAATACAATTTGAAATCTAGTAGTTACTACATAGAAAAACCACTTAAGAAAATCGAATGGAAAAGACTAGTAGGAATAAAGATCAAGGAATACTGGAAAAATGAATGTCACTATGAAAAAATGGAAAAAACATCACTTAAATACATAGAGATACAGAACAATCCATTAAATGAAGCACACAATATATGGAAAAGCGTAAAAAACAATTATAGTAAAGATGTAAAGGCAGGAGAAATAAAAGCAAGAATAAGTACTCAAACGTACATATTACAAGCCAAAAGAGCTAAGTTCGATCCGAAAGTTAACCCGATATGAACAATCTGTGAACAGGAAAATGAAGATCTGGAACATTTTATTCTACGCTGCAAAGAATTGGAGCAAATAAGATCTAAATATTGCTCAAAAATAGAACAGACAATGGATGAAATCGATACCTCAACATACAAGAAGATCATACAAGAAGGGAATTTACTGCAGCTCATAATGGACTGTACTAGCAAGGACATAAACTGTTACTCAACTGTGTATGAAAGCATTGAAACTCTGGCTAGAAATATGTGCTACGAGATGCACATGCATGCTGCGCACAAAAAGGATTAAAAACTTGAACACAAGTACAGTAAAAATAAACTTTTTTAAAATAAAATAGTTCCCAACTTTTCCATCTTACTATTTTATGACGTATTAGGACCTAAATTAAATAAAAAAATTTTGAGAAGTTTTAAGATATCAAATTACCTTTAACGAATAATGATAAGATCCGAAATAAGGTAACTTTAAACTGTGAAGGTAAACTTATGTATATATGATGAATTGTTCTAAACCCCAACCCTTTTACATAAGTCCTATAAAATAACCTTCTCATTATAAATTCTGATGTACCCATAGCACCTTTAACTAACAATTATAAGAAAATTTAATTTAAGACCACTTAAATTCTAAATTCTTATTTGTAAATATATCCAGTTCTTACATAACTTATTCTTACACTTCAGCACATTATGAATATTATTTTTAAAATTTCATGATGACAATCCTATGAATTAGTTATAATATTAATTTTTAGTAATTATTATTGCCTAAATTCAGTCATCTGTACATAATTAAATGCTTCCTTGTGTTCTAAGGTGTATATAGTTGCTACAATTATACCCTATGGGTAGTGCTCCACAATTAATGGAGGAATATACAAGAAACTGAACTATTGTTCAATAGGCCGATATGTGTATGGCAGTTAGCTTTAAAACAATAAAATTCACACGGGTACTTGTTTTTGTGTGCCGCGATGATGATGATACCAATCGGTATGCTAAAATTGGTAATTTAGTTTAACAAAAGAAGCAAAGCCGATGAGATGTGTTTTGAGTGATTGTATGTACAAGTGATAATTGTTGCCAGTTGGGGCTAAAATATAAAGAATAACTGCAAAAATTAAAGAATTGGGTAAAAATATACTGATTTCAGAAAAGAACAATGTCCAGAATATACAGTTATCAAGTAATTACAGGATAGCCATTAATTTTTAAGATAATTATAAGAATAATGAGCGAAAAATATAAAGAATACAGAAATGAAGGACCCTCATCCATACCCTCATAATACATACCAATTCGTGTTTTCTATCAATCAAACGTTTACAAGAAGTAGCACATGCAGTGAAGAAATAAACAAAATAAGAGACTCTACCCTAAAACTTGTCTCGTAAGAAATCTTTCAGCTGACAAAGAACGTTGGAATATTCTTTGTCCTTACAGAAAACTTCCTATGCCTTTTAAATATCCCCAAATACACATGACCGCTGATAAAGCAGATCATGGGAAGATACATTTCATTGCCTTTATTGTAAGTTGTTCAGAGTCTGAAGATGAAAATGATATGTACATTATATATATTGTTTTCCATGCTCCAAATCACGAGAAGTAGAACTCTTAATTTGTTGAAGTGTC